TGCGTCACATGTTCCCAGTTCCTGTTACTTGACAGAATCAGTTATAAATCTACAGATCAAAGTAATCCTTTAGCTGCACTTCTCTTGAATCAGAAATCCACATTCACAGAAATCAGCGTAATATGAAGAGCACAATAACTTTCAAAATCAATTTAAAAAAGTATGACTCTCTCTTTAGTTTCCATGAAGCTATTTTCGTAGCATGAATGTTGAAATTTAAAACTGTTAAAGCTACTTTTGTCTCTGTCAATTGTATGCAGTATGATCTGTTGGCAAAGATGAAGTACCCATCCAAAAGCAAGAGGCTAAATTTGAGGTCTGCAAATCTCGGTTTAAATTGAAGCATATTAATCCATTGCTCCCCAAGGCTCTTCTTCACTGAAGAACTGGTGAGATTTCACTGCAGTGGTGGAACTGAAGGTGAAAGAAGACATGGTTGCTTTAACACTACTTCCGACGCACTATGAAAATTAAAAACCGTTTTGTCACTCCTAAAAAGCAGAGCTGACTGCCCCAGGCCATCTTCTCCAAACCTAATGAAAGAACCAGTACTACTATCCCAGCAGTTCAAATGTGCAAACGCCAGCTTTAGATACAGTTTCAGAAGAGCAATTTGCCACCAAAATGCATTGAAAATTATGAATTCATTGCCAGGGGAAAGCGTGTGTAGGAAGGCTCTTAGCACTATCGAACATTTTAGTGGTAAGACAAATGACGTTGCTCACTACAGAACCATCTACCGTGTGATTTACTGAGAACCACACGATATGCAGCACGGGGCTTAAAAAACAAAATCAGGTAATAAATATATGTGTGTGTGTATTTATATAATATAATTAGCAGACTGAAATAACCCAGGTTAACAATTCCCAGTCCTGCAGCAGATTTACAGCCCTGTCTCACTAACTGCTTCCTTCCAGATTCTGGACAGATTCCTGGGGTACGAAACCTGGCACAGGAAAACACAGGCTTCCTTGTTCTGAGTAGCATTCGCAATTCTCCACAAAAATCACCTCTGCTTTAATGAAATATGAAACTTTCACTGCTTTACAAACACCTTATTTTTCCAATAGAAGTTGATTTGATGAACAAGAAGCATGTTTCCATTTTGTACATAGAGCCTCACTGAAAACAGAAAAAGTGGGTATTGCTAATAGTTTTGTGTTCTCATTTTTACACTTTCAACACATAAATGTTCACAGGAATACAAAACAATTAATTTAGGTGCAAATACAATTTAGTCTAAAAATGTAATACCAGCACTGTGTGCAACATACAAATAAAGAAATACTGGTAGAAACAAAAATATTTCTCATATAATATCAACAATGAATGAATCCAAAACTATTCTTGGACTGCATAAGAATTTATCAAATAATTAATTCAATTAGACCAAAACTTATCTGTGAGAAGTAGGAAAAAGAAAGGTAGTGTCTGGCAGAATATTAATAGTTTTGTCTATTTTTTTGGCTCTATAAATCTTAAAGTAAGATACTTCTGCCACATTTACCATGTCTGTCAAATCAGAATATTATTTCTCCCTTCAGTACGGAGTTAATTATGTACAATTTATAAAGTTTCTCGAGATTGTCTCCAAAATTTGACCTTTATGCAAACACATGCCTTTATACAATGAATGTTTTCCTCACCATCACAATCCTGAATTAAGTTAATAGACGTGTGTGCAAAAGCATCCCCAAAAGAAAAAAAAAAGGAATTTGGGACAGAGATAGAACTTTTCCTCTTGTTTTCTTCTGAACTCTCTGTATCTCTGTTCTAATACACTGCTGCTCTTTTATAAAAGAAGAATATTAAAATAAAGAAAGAATAAGTCCACATCACATTCTGGAAGCAAGAAAATAATTTTAATTACAGTACACATTTCTCTCTCCTACAATTTAAGGAAGCATTTACTTGATATAAATGTGGACATCTATGTTTATGTAGACAGCAGACTAAAAGAAATCTGACATCAGGAAAAGAATGACTGAAGTGACTGCAGTCTATTGCAAAGCATAAGGAAAAATGATGATTCTTCAGAATCCAGAAAACTTTTATGGAAAAGAGTTCGCAGTAAAAAAGATCTTGAATTAAAAATAGTTTGAAAAAACATCTGCAAAGGTGTGAACATCCTTTTGCAACATTTCAAAAGAAAATTTTGCAAAGTGCAAAGTGACTTATTATTTCAAATGGAGATTTTTCAACATTGAGGTTTTATTTAATTCCGATATTCATTTCATTCGTTTCATTTCAATATTTAATCATTGAGATTTAGACTTTTTGTTCCTATTTCATATCGGAAAAATAACAAATATGTGCCTAGCACAAGAAAAAAGCAATCTCAAGGCTAGCTACAGAACATGAGTTCTGATTTGCTGTGTGGTTGTGATAAGGCAGCATGGGCACATGAACAAGTTACTATGTAGCATTAACTGCATGTCAGGACACTGCAGTAACTGTTGGCTACACATTCTTACCCCACAATGAGAAATAATTTGAAGTCATTTATCTCTTTAGCTTAGGTAGGATTAGCTACATCATATGGAGCCTTAGGGTAATGTATTTGATAAATATAATCACACTCTTATGATAAAATAAACAAAGTATGTACTTCTCTCCTACTTTAATATTTATAAATCACATTTTATTTATGAATAGATTAACTACTAAGATATCAATTAAGCTGTTTAGTAAGTTAGTCATTTATTTTTCTTAATTCAACAATTTTCTTTTTAATATCCACAGATAAAAAATGACTCAGGAAGATAAATCTTAGTGTAAATTGTGGAAGGAGACCAAACATGTATTTGATGTGATAGAATCACATATTTATGGTTATCTGAGCAACGGACAGTCATCTAGGGTTATTATGGGATTACAAACCCCTAATTCTAAACATGCATAAATATTACTGGTTTAACTTTATAAGGAATATTCTCTTGATCAGTCCTGACTTTCCAAAGATTATTTTCAGAGTAAAAAGACAAGAGATGGACATACTTTGCCATCTCATTAATTGCCTCGTGCTTCTAGCAAGAAGCTAAAAAAATATAAAACATAAACCTGTACTGCTATTGGGAGTCACTGTACCTTTTTAGAAGCTTCAGATTTTTCACCAACTGGGCTTACAGAGATTAATATTAAAGGCTGAATATTAAATATTGCAAGCCTATGACACTAATCTACTTGAACAATAAAACTGAGGCACAGTGAATGAGATCTCAGAAATACTGGATATGTTTCTTCATTAAAAAAAACTTTTTAATTAAACCATCCAATTTAATGTTTTTATATGGCACTTTAGTTTTGAAGGTAAAGTGAGCTAGAGACAGCTGACAAAGAAATTATAACTGCAATTCCTTGGTGAAAATGTTAATGACAGCAAAATATTGTTTAATTAGATGATTGCAGCATCTGGATTAACACTCTTTAAGAGCGATGTTCCTGTGCTTGTCTGCTTCTTCACACTTTACAGACATTTTGTCATCTCTAGGTCATTAGGAAAGAATTTTTAATGATTTTTCTAGAAGCAAGTAGTTTGAGTTACATCTAATTAGATGACAATAATAAGCCCAACACATGCAGTAGCTAAATATATACATAATTAACCAGTGAGGGCTTGTACATCACAGAGTAAAAAAGTGGAAAATGCTAAACAGGCGAAAAAAAAAAAGGAGGGAGAAGAAGTTGGTTTGAATTTATTACCCGAAGATGTCATTTTATTTCCACAAACCTTTAAAAATAATCCCTTTCCATTACAAGAAAGGACTTACAAAAATTATGGATATAATTATTCTCTACTTCTTTTAAAAGCCATGGCAAGTAGGATTTAAAAGAATTAAAATTCCAATAAATACAAATGCAAACATATATTTAATATATTGCAGCTTACAAAAACAACAGAATCAGTTAGGTACAAGGACATAGATTTCAAAACTAGACTTCTAACAAAAAAGTGGCCACTAGAAACATATTACAAAACGACTCCTTGTCCCCTTGTCCCTACTCTCCCTGACTCCTTTACTGAGGTGAGATCATTTTTAAGTACTTTTTTCAGTAACCTTGTAACTGAGAATAATAAAAATTACTTTTTTCCTGTATCACCTGAAGTGTTTAGCTGACACATATGCTGTTCATGTGTAAGATAGCCTTTTCCTATGTGCCTGAAGAAAGGACAACTAATATAATAACAGTTCTTGCAAAGGCTTCAAAGTTAAAGAATTGCTGGGAAAGGTATAGGTAGGAGGAGGGGGAACATTGGCCAGGAGAGGCTTATGTCTACAGAACCAGGACAAAAACCAGGGGCACCGAGGGTGTTACATTGAGACTGATTGATAAGTAGCAGAGTGCAGTGTTTACCTTTGGGAAAAAAAAACCCAGGGCTGTAAACATGATGAAATATGCTCAAGTTAGAAAAGAGGGCAAGAAAAAGGTGAAGACCTTAGAAACAGAATAGGACGGCGAGAAAATAGTTGGCTAGAGGGCCAGGGAAACAGGTTGGAACAAGACTTTAGAGAGTTTTGAAAATGGAGAGAGCAATTTTGAATTGAAATTGCAATGAGACATGAGGCCAGTACAAGTGATGGAAATCATATATCCTTGGATTGGCAGTGATTGAAGGAGAATTATAATAGCTGAAGTAAATAGTGATTAAGTTATAAGTAAGGATCACAGCAGAAACAGTGTCAAATGAAAATGAAGTTGGGCAATGGTTCAGAGGGGGCAACGGGCTGATATAAAGATAAAAAAAAGAGTGACAGAAAGGATTTTTCCAAGGGGTCATATCGATATTTTAAACATTGACTAAGGACTTAGAGAATAGCTAGGGGCCATATTTGTCAAGACAGACATATTGGTCAACCAGGGACAGAATAAAGGATAAATTCTTATATTTGGTTCTACTGCACGGAACCCCATCAGTCTGCATAATTAACAGTATTGCGAGCAGGCAAAGGACTTCTTACGGGAAAGGACCCAGCTGCATATGCCACAAAAAAAGAAATGAGTTGGTGTCAGAAGCTTCACTCGTGAATGTGTCTCTCTTAAGGCTACTATTTGAATAATTTCAGAAAAGGATCACAAGAAAACTTGAATGATTTCTTACCATTTTGTAAAGGGTTAGACACCAACTAAACATTGTGGTAGAAAGAAAGTAGGCTACAAAGAATGAGCAAAAGATGTACCAAAATCATTTTTAGTAGAACTCTACTTCAGAAGAGAAGAAAAAAACAACATAGGCAGCTGTGTATCACTTACTAGGAAATAATCTGGCAAACGTCCACATTTCTTAAGTGACTAAGCTATGGCTCAGATATGCTAAATAAGCCAGCAAGAGCTAAATGATGACATAGGTAAAAAAATTACTGGTGCACATATTTCTCAGCAATGGTACTAAACAAGATGATGTTGCTTAAACAAATGATTATAGTCTAAAACTAGACTATCACTGTCTACACGAACAATTACTGTATCTTTTAAATAAATAATTCTTATGAGATCTCATTATAAAAGAGTATAATTAAAACTCTGCATTTTCCAGAGGAAGAAAGAAAATAAAATACATGGCATGTCTTTACTTGGTAGTATATCTTTTTACCAAAGGGTGTCATAAATATATTCACTACTCTTGGCACTCTCCCTTCAGATACTTTTAGTCATTGATGAGCTCTCCTCTCAGTCTTCTCCAGACTGAACAGGCCCCAGCCCTCGCAGCTTTTCTTCATAGGAGAGGTGCTCCAGTCCCCTCATCATCTTTGTAGCCCTCGGGTGGACTCTCTCCAGTAGCGCCATGTCTCTCTTGTACTGGGGAGCCCAGAACTGGACACAGTAGTCCAGGTGAGGCCTCCCCAGGGCTGAGCAGAGGGGCAGGATCACCTCCCTCCACCTGCTGGCAACACTCTGCCTCATGCACCCCAGGAGACCATTGGCCTTCTTGGCCACAAGGGCACACTGCTGGCTCATGCTTGACTTGTTGTCCACCAGGTCTGCCAGGTCCTCCTCCGCAGAGCTACTTTCCAGCAGGTCAACCCCCAGCCTGTCCTGGTGCATGGGGTTATTCCTCCCTAGGTGTAGGACCCTGCACCTAACGCCATATGATGGTGAAGCCCGGAAAGTGCTTGTGGCTTTCTACCATACATTTATGTTCTGAAGCTCTCCCCACTGTCCCTAGACCTGGAGCTCATATACATGATGGGTAGATCACTGGCTTGGCACCACACTTACGAAGACTCCTTGCAATTTCCCCAAGTTCTTCATTAGTTTTAGGAAGTTAGTTTCCTAGCTGAAGTGCATAATTTATTAGAGCTAAAAAAAACAGGCTGGACTTTCCAAAAATAATTTTTTGGACTTTCCCTTGCTATGAAAAATTTGGAAATTTTAAGCTTTGTTCAAAACTGAAATAAAAAGTTCACTGACATGGCTAGAATTTCCTACTGGGTTTCAAGCAGTATTAATTCTCATTTGTTGTTTTCAGGGGTTTTGTTCATTTGCTTTTTCATTCAGTTTTTGGTTTAGGCAGTGACTGCACCTATCAAGGGTAAATATTATCCTCTTTTTCAAACAAAATATCATGAGATTCTATGAGATAGCATCAGTGAAGGAAGATGTTATTATAATGTTAGCAACTGAAATGTATTTTTATGTTAACAATCTCATTACTAAACAAATTTCAAAAATAAAGAAGCAGAAATCAAATGTACACAACACAGCACTTCAATCATCTTCTTACAAGCTCTTTGCATTTAAGGCCATTCTAATTTCATAACAAATTTGTACTGCCCAGAGTAATCGTCACTGATTGCAGCAGGATCTGTTATTTCAGTAATACTGCTGGAACATTATCAGAGGTGACAGCATTTCAGCTGACAGCAATGCAATGATTCAGTTTAAAAGTCAAGGCACCCAAGAATCTCACCTTCTCTTAGGTATTCCTGCAAAATGTTTTATGAAATGGCACAGTGATACTTTCTTCTCAACCTAACATGACAACTCTTGGAAGTCTTGGAAGGAAACCCTTCTTGGAAAATGAAAACAGAATAGAAAATACAGAGATTTGCAAGGACCCTTTGGCCTAGTAATGCAGATGTGTTTGAAATAACAATCAGAATAACAGATATGCTTTGTGATAAGGAAAATGTCCCCAAATGTTACTCAAAACCTTGCTTGCATCTTAGTAGAACAGTGTGCATTGACTTTTATGTAACAAATTTTGGTCACTTCCAAAACTTTTAAAAATTAGCATATTGCTTTTCTTTCAGAAAACATGCATTTATTAATCCATGTGACTTCAAAACATCATCAAAAAGAAGAACATTACAAAATAAATCAGTCAATCAAAGACAGAGATAAAGAGTTGGGCTGAATTTCTTCTACAGACTCAAATTTATCTCCCCCTCCTTCAGTGAATGTGGCCTCTGAATGAAACTTTAGCTAAATTTGAACGTGAATTTGAACTCGATTATCTATTGCTGAAAGGCTTGATAGAGATCATACGTAATGCTGTGAAAATGAAAAAATGAGTTCATTCAATGAAAAACAAAGAGATTACACGAATAGAATGAGATTTACCAGTGAGAGACTGAGATAAAAAATCTGCTAGAAATTAGGTGTGTTAAGTCACAGAGAGATACTACTAAGGTGCTGACCAAGCTACTGTGAGCTGTTACAATAACAGTGCAAGCGCACCGACAGGCAGTGGTTTGCAGCCTTCTTAATATTGCAAAAAGAAAAATAAGTTAGCAATCCTTCAAATTTTGCACACAGCAGGTGTTACCTGGAATGTAAATGGAAGGCTATCCTGTTATAAGGAAGGTGAATAATAGTAGATAAGATTAAGAGAAACTTGCCTTAAGTGACTAGCTACGTGTTTGGCTAGAAAACCTGCCTAGCAGCACTAATATCTGACAACAGGTCAAAAAATATTGAATTTGAGACCTCTGAGATACTCTGAAGTGATCCCTTACGGATGAAGCTTGTTTACTGATGGATACTTTAGTGCACCACTGCAACACTGCAATTCCTAACTGATTTCAGACATAATGATATCTTCCAGGTTTGGATGTGTTGGTGATATACCTTAAAAAAAATGAACTGATTAAAAATGAACAGTAATTTATCAAAAATTGGCTCAGCTCTTGCCTAATCTCATTTAAAGAGCTGAGTGCTTACAGAATAAAGGAATACACAAAAAGGAAATTACAAGGGAAGGACGGTGTCGTCGCTAACGTACTGCACAAGGACTTAGGAGACCTAGCCTACCTTCCCAGCTCTCCAGGAAGCTCTCCAAGCTTCGGTGCCGTGTTCAGGGAGCCTGCGAGGCTCTGCCTGCATTTCCCCAGATCCAGAAGTGCAGAGCAATGTGTGAGAGACACAAAGTGGCTGCACACAGGCCAGTGTCCAGAAGTAGGATGGCAGCTTTCTTGTTGCACCACACCAGAGGCAACAAACTCTCAGCAGGACTCACTCCTTAGGCATGGCTCTGCGTGACTGTAGCTACAATGCTCAGGAAGCAAGCTGCTGTGCCTGCATGGGACTGCACCATATGGGCTTCCCAGCACAGGTCTCTGGTAGCTTAAGGGACTCTGCTCCATGTTCCCCTGCACAAGGTGAACACGCCCTCAGATTTCCAGCTGCTTAGTGGTAGCACTTCTGCATCACACAGGAATAATTTGATGACACATTTATTAAGGTCTGTGAGATCAGATACATGGACGATGACTACCATATAAGCACTGAGGCAAAAGCTGAAAGGTTCAAAGAAAGATGGATTTCACAGCTACTGAATTTTGCCCCTGCTGCATTGGGGAGAAAACCGTGATTGTGTGCATACTGGTCAGAGTAACAGAATATTTGGGTGCTACATTTGGGTTTTGTACATACATTTGTCTTCTGTCTGGCTTGAGGATAACCTCAAGCATAAAAGTCAGGAAAAGGTAAAGATATGAGCCCTAACACTGGAGTACAAAGTGATGCCTGGCGGAATTTAATTTGCGCTTCAAAGTAAAGCTCACTAGTGTGAGAAGTCTGAGAAAGTCTCTATCTGGGCAGGTTCATGAGCAGCATGTGTGCTAAAGGTAGGAGTCATAATACTAGAGGATCTCTCATATATAGTATAGAAATTTTCTGCTTTTTACATTTAAAATTAATGTTAAAAGAAAGGAGAAAACAAAAATGCCATTGTGAATGTTTAATTAGCGACAATTGCCAGAAAAACTCTTCTTTTTCCAATAAAGAATGGGTTTGTGGCAGTTATTTCTCGTTTTAAATATCTAATCTGATATTATATTTCCGTTCAAAGAACTAAACGAGAAAAGATGCTGTAATCAAATCATACCACAATCCAGGTGACATCTGTACTAGGCAGAATACTGTTGTTATTCTGCTGTCTAGTTGCTGTTGCTGAGAATGATGAAGTAGCGAAATTACATTTTCCCATTATTATTTCCAGACACTCTCTGGCAATGGTTTGTTGACTCTAATAAAGCTTCAGACAAAGCTGTCAGCAGAGGAAATGGCAGAAGGAGAGCAGGGAACAACCTCCACAACAATACATGAATCTAAAGTCTCAGTGATAGGTTGTGCATTTTCTGATAAAATTTAATGTGCATGTTTCAGAATCTATCATAAAGCTGCAGCTGAATTCGAGAGGGATAAACGCAGTCTATCAAGTCACGGTACTCAAGACTTTGACAAACATAAACACATTATGAAGGATTAAAGACTCAGAAGCCTTACCTGCTATAGTATTGAGGAACATCAAGTATTCAAAGTTAGAAATCTCCCGTCTCTGCCAGCGCTGAGTCATGTTGGAGGATTTATAAAGCTGTCGGGGAGTGGCCAGAGAGATTCTCCTAGGAAATACATTTAAAGAATGATTATTTTAAGAGCCTCATTAAATGTTAAGATGTAGGGCAATGTTATTAGTGTGATTAATTTCAGATTCTCTCAGAGGCTTTTTTATTTCATTTAATGAAGTCAAGAAGACACTATTATCCTCACTTGACAAACGACCAAAATTAAAATCTGTATTTTATTTTACCAATACTACAGCACTGTAATAATTCAGAACAATATTTTTTGTATTTTATTTTACTTTGAATCTGGTTAAAAGACTGAAGTAAAAGAAACTGCAGACCTCCTGGTGCCTGAGCTGTCCAACAGAAATAAAAGAGGAACACCATTTCCCTGTTTCAAAAGGATATATTGAGATAAGTTCATTAAGGTGACTGATGGATGGATTAAAGTGCCATATATTCGCAGCACATGAGTTAAAGATATTTACCCCACAATTTGATCCTTTCCTATCTCCCTATAGCTCCAAGATTTCTATTTATAGCCTTGTTTCCAAAAGAAACAATGTTTATTCAGTTTTCTGCTCACGTGTCCATCTGCCTGTCTCTCTGTAATAACTTTTGCATTGCATTTCATTTGAACTTGGAAGAGGGGTAGAAGTTTCAAAAGATAATTTCCATGCATTTTGTAAAAAACATATGTTTGGGTAAGCAACAAAGAACCAAACTACTGTGCAAAGGAAGCTAAAAGAGCAAAATTTCAATTATTATATATTCAGTTTGAAAACAGCACAATAACAAAATACCATGCACCAAAGTCTAGATCATCTCTAGTAAATACAGGCTCTTGTTGGTAAGATAACATGCATTTAAAATGCATTAAAGAAAAAAATCTGCCAAAAAACAAGCAGAATTAGCTTCATTGCTCACATCTCTTTTCTAGAGCAAATAGCCCTTGCTGAAAAAAGAAAGGGGAAATCTTTGGAAGAAGTTCTTCTCCTCTGCTACTTTTTTTACAGAAACATAAGAAAAATACAGAAACATAAAGTGATCCAACTAGTGAAAATGTTTATACCTGTTTAAAAAAAGGGGATCCCAAAAGCTTATCCTATTCACAGATTTACATATATATACACACACACACACACGCACACACATAATATTTATGTATGTATGCATGTATATAGCTTGTTAGCAGTAACTAGTGACACCAAATATTTCAGCAGTAAACACACTATGTGTACTACTTCTAGACTGTGAATACCGAGTAATTTCTCAAAATAAGGTCATATAAAAAGTGTCAAATTGGGCAGAAATTACAAAAACGTGGATTATCTATTTATAAACAGATATGTACATACTTCTATTCATGCCCCATCTGCAGACAAAAGGATGAATACCGGTATGCCTAATTGGATGTACAGTTACCACAATTATATTTCTAAATGGTCACATGTAGGTTGTCAAAGCCTGTCATACTTAGGGTTACAAATTAGGTATATAAAAATGACCATGCAAGTGTGGGTACACTTTCTACCTTCTTTTTTAATCTCTGTATTTACCCAAAATAGCAAAGCGTAAGTTCTTGCCAGTTTGCCTATCGTTAATTTTCAGTGAACCCTTAAGATGCCAATGGTACATGCACTTTACCAGTACACACAAGACATTAATAATATTTTTTAAGTTATTTCTATTACACATTGTCTGAGCAATTTATCATTCTTTATACTGCATTTTATAGAATAGCAACCAGTTTTACAGTGGAATGTTCAAAGACATGTTGTTCCCATTAAACTATGACTAAAGCTACTCACAAATAATAAATGCAGAAATTAGTACCATTAACAAAGATAATTAAATTTATAAAGTATTTCCATCATAGGCTTTTTGCTCCTCCAATGACAAACATTTATGCATCAGTACAACTTAGTAACTGCTTTTAGACTTTACCCACAATCTCCCAAGGAATCTTAAAACTCCATAAATCATCAAGTGCTGGACTTTACATTTGAATGCCTGATTTGAATGAACTTTACAGAAAATCAAAATATATTTATTATATTCCTTATTTTCTCTATATCTGTGATGTTTGAAAGATTTTCAGTTATTTCAGCACAGACTGGAAAAAATTATGCACAATAAATTGGTTCCACACCTGCTTGTTTCAGTTAACACAGAAAGACCCACTGTTTTGTATTTTGCTAAATCCACCCGCCTTTGATCAAGCCATGCCTCTCTTTCGATATGCCATCACAAATACGAAGATGCACAAAATGAATGCGCTTCCTTCACTTTTGGAGAACTGTGAAATACCTACTCCATATGGAAAGTGCAGAAAACCTTCTGATGTACAAGGGGATAATCCAACTTTTCAAGTTTTATATGCTTTAAGTATGTTTACTAAACACTTCATGACATTTAGTTGAGGGAAGAGATGTTATGTATCCTTTATGTGGAATATGACCCACCCCCTTTCACAATCACTTTTAACTTAGCCACAATCCCATCGCATACAAAGAATCTCTAAGTACCTCATAAAAAAGTAGCATCTACTGGATGCTTTGTGTTGTGCAGTCCCTGTTCATGTTCAGAACAAAGCGTTTGGAAATCACTGGCTTTGGCTAGTCTGTGGTAAGAGACTACCTAATATTCACTTTTAATCAAAGCTCTAAAAGGGGCTTTATGCTTTGATGACATCAAATCTTGGTTTTCCCACCCCTCTCCCTTGCTCAAAAGACAACCTCTATAACCAGCTAGACTGAGATCTGGAAATCTATTACCAAGCTTCTAACGTGGAATAAGTGGCAGCGTTGAGCCAGCACTGAATTCAATCACCACACCAGCTGAAATACATGTTTTCCTTCAGCAAGAAACTTCATCATTTGTATTTCTGCACTTTAAAATGGCAGCCATTGTTTTATCTCATGCATTAATGGCCCACAGATTTTCAGCATAAGGCGCTAGCACATGTTTAATCATGCAGTATGATACTGTAGCTGTAACTTTTACCAATTCTTTGATCTCTGTATGCTTGTAAAACAATTAGACAGCTCACAGTTGGTATTAAAACAGTTAAAACAGTTTTTAGGCCACCATGTTAACTGCAACGTATCACTAAATCACACCTGAGTTGTTAAAACCCTAAAAAAGTGCTCTTCTGATAGTGTTGTAAAAATAGGAATATTACTCTACCTACACAGAATCATATGAAACTCCAGAAATAAATTAAATAAAAGGCACACCACTATCTTCCCTATGGTATCATATGATGAGGTTATAAGGACACTGCAAGCAATGCAACATGTTTCACGACCAATGAAATTGAGTATTTACCAGAGTTAAATGAATTTGATTATTAAACTATCCCAAACACTTTGACATGTGAGCAATTTTAAGCATCCAGTTATTTCATGAATCTAAGCAGTTACTACAATAACATACAATATTAAGCATATGCTTGAATACCTTGTTGAATCAAAGTCTTAAATAGGCAAAGAGTAGGAATGGTGGCAAACAGGCAAACTGGAGACTTGCTGAAAACATCAGGTCAGCAGCAGTCTTAGGAAGAGATACCAGTTCTCCTGGTTCTGATCCTCTGTGCTATTAGTAGATCATAAATATTTATTATGCTTGTGTTTTCTTCCATCTTTGTTAAACAGAGGATTTCTCCACGAAAACAGAAATGCACTTAAAGTTCATCTACCTCATTAAAACTCATTTACTCCTTCAGTATGTTTCCATCTTAAATTGCAATTCTTTATGATGTAATTAACTTCAGATGAATTTTTCATCAGAATGACATCAGAGAAAAAATATTACTTACTAAAATAAAACTCATTAACTTAAGCAAAACAACCAGAAAGGTCTGCTTTTGTTAAAATATTCTTTAAGTACAGTTTAATCTGGAAAACTGGTTGTTTAAAAACAGTAGCACTTTACTCACTATAACCGCTCAGGACATACTCAGCATAGTATCTCCTTATGTTAGTGATACAAATGAACATAATTTCAAAGTTCCTGCTAGCATTTCAGAGCCAACATATCAATGGGAAGGAAAAATATTAACTACAGAGCAAAAACATATTAATTACAGAGCAGTTACTGGGAGAGCTTTTCCATCAGCTACTCCACTGCAATCCTACTGAAGACAATAAGAGTACGTAGACAGAAATAAATGCAGAACCATGATTATAGGGTCTTTATTGTGCATAAATCATAAAGTGATTATGCACAAACGAGAAAGAAAAACAACTTCACTACCATACGCCAGATTTAATCTGAAGGCTAACAAGCCAGTAGATATACATATAAAGATAAAAAACTGAACGCATTTGATTCTACAAACCCGAGGTGCAAAGAAACCAAAATTCCAAAATGCCATTTTACAGCCAATTTTTTGATTCAAACTGAGCTTTTACAAAAAAGGAACAGAAATAACTGCCTATAATATTGAAGTTGAAAATATTCAAAATAATTATTTATCAACAAACTTTTCGGACAATTATTCACTGAATAATGCACAAAGGATACGAGTTTCAAAAGTAAAAAACATCATACATTCTGACTGAGAGATTTGCATTTTGCTTTTTCTAGAACATGTGGCCCCTTTTATTTCATAAAAAAATACTATTACTTTCCATTTAGCTTTAATTTGAGTATTTGGAAGAGCAGTGCAAATGTTAACAAGATGCACCTTCCAAAGAGATGCCTCAGCTTCCCCTTGATCTTAGTGAAAACTTGAGGAACTTGGCAGTTTGCCTGAGGATTTCAGCACATTCAGGAGATCAAGCCTTAGGCATCATGAGACTCTTGAGTTCATGACAGGGAAGTATGTTCAGCTGGGAAAGAAATCGTTTTCCAATCCTACAAATGCTTTGACATTTCTGAATATTCCCACATTCTGCACTGGGATAAAACAAAGACAATTTGAAGTTTTAGTCTGTATAAAACCACTTAAAGAAAGACACATCCCAGGCAACACACCAATGATTAGGTCATTGGCCTTTGTCCAAGTCAAGCCAAACAGACATCTGAACCTAAGGCACCATATTTTGTGAATTTCCAGCTGTCTGTTCTCTCTCTTATTATTATTTTTCTTTGATTTTGATGAGGAATTTGTCCTGAACCTGAGAAAACTTTCATCAAGGTTTGGTGATGCACTCTCAAAAACCATTTTAGTTTTGAACAGACATTTCTGAAGAAAACATCTGGAGGCAGAAAATTTCCCCTCAGCTCTGTGAAGTACCTACGAAGGTCATGTTAGCCTTCACTGAAATATAAATACCTTTATAGCAAAGAATCTGAAAATTCCCAGCCTTACTTCCGACCATAAGTTGATTTGATGTTAATGCTCATGAGATACCAAATAAATAACTGTATGTCTCTGTAGAATATGAAAATATCGAAATGTGAACCTCAGTTGGTCCTTTTCAAAATATCTTTCCACCTTAATTTTGGAAACAGAGGAAGAATCATCATATTAATCACTGGAAGGATCATCATACCAATAAAGAATGGAAGGAATCTGGAAAGTGCAAAATAGTCACTATGCTCATGAGCGATGAAATAAAATCCACATACATTCATATAAAAGGCAAATGAGAAAATTTACAAATAAAAATAATTTTAGTTTAACACAAATCCTAGTCAAGTTTAGTTCCATACCCTGCATGAAATTAATCACAGCAAGAATGATCATTTATCCATGACTAAAACCCAGAATTTGAAGAGATAAGCTAAACATTTTATTTTGGTCCTTCCCTGGAAGGTACTTATTTCCTATAATGATTTTAAAAAAAATCTTATTTAAAATATGTTTATTTCAATTTTATAATAACAGGCTATTAAGTAAAGAGTATTGTTTTTCCAACTGAAAATAGAAAACCTAGAGATTTATGACGGGAACAATATTTTAGTATTGACATATTTTAAAATGCCTTAAATATAATTTACCTTTATATTATAAAATAAGCACAGAATATACAAAATATCTTAATCAAATTACCTGGCTTGTGGCAAACCATAGCTCGTTCCTACTCCAACGCGTGGTAAGCTGTACACAACTTTTTTCACCGTTGCTTGGTCAGGAAAATTAAACATAACTGAAGCTATAGGAAGAAGAGAAATCATGGACTAGTGAGCCATCTGCAGAACTCTAACTGTCTACAAGAATCTATTTTTAAAATGCTTTTTAGATTTTATTTGGAAGAGCATCCACTTATACTTTTATCCTTCTGGAGACCCAAGTCAGAATAGATACTCCTGCCACACTTCAAAACTATGAAGCATTAGCTGGTTAAAGTTTCGGCACTAACTGTCCAATTTTGCAGAAGACCTGAGTGAGGTATACCTCAGAAGAAATATGATTTACTATTAACTGCAATATCTTATCATGCCAGGAAGCTGTTCAGTAGATTGAATATTTGGACTCATAACTGGTAGATTAAGACACAAGAGCAGAAATTGATTAATTCTCTTTTCGGTTGAAATAAAATGTTACATCACAAGTGTTCAGGACAAAAGTCTACTGGTGCACATCCCCCAGCACTTGATTCTGATTCAGAGTAGCACATTTTCACACAGAAAATTGGCTGGATCCAGGCACACTATCCATCAAATTGGTCCTTTTTAGTTAAACTCAATTTAGAATTGCAAAAGGAAATTTCTTTCCCAGGAGATCGGCAAAGCATTGTCATTTGGGGTTTATTTTTCCTTTACTCAATGGCATCTGGTAGAAAACCTTGTTAAATACTAGCTGTGTGTGAATAAGTAGATATTTCACTAAAATATTTGCATAAAATATGAGGAGAGGGGTGAAATCACCAAAAAAGGCAAATTTTCTAACATTTGAAGAATTTACCCGTTACAATGTTCTGTCTTTACAAATCAATATCACTGCTGCAGGGAAAGTAAAGCCCTTATTAATGGCTTGCCAGCAAATATTTTAATATAAAATGCAATGAATACATGCAAGAGGAAGTATTATTGCAGAGAAACATAAACATTTTGTCAAAGGAAGTCCAGAGTTTAAAATCAAAAATTAATAAATACCATGCAAAATAACTACTAGCATGCTTTTACGTAAACAAAATAAACAAAGACATACTTCTGTTTGCCATAAACACCTCCAAAGCCGTGTTCTGGAGAAGATAACGTCTTGAAAAAACAGCCCGAATCTCACTGAACATCCATTTTCCATGAAGACCTTCTGTGTAGGCAAGGACCTTTAAAGATAAAATAAAGGTGACAGTTATTGGAAGAAGTTTTTCGGGAAAATACTACATGAAAACATAGTAGGTTTTATCTATCAGTGAAGTAGAGGAAAGTTTGGTTTATTTTACCTCTTAAACACTTAAAAAGCAAGAGCTAAAATAAGAACTGAAATTTTAAAGAATACAATAAAGTACCACCATGGGAGAAGAATCATTTAACAGTACTTGATACTACTTAGATCTGCTTCTCATGAGTCAAATCACCTTATTTTCCTCAAAAAAATCCCCAAACTCTGCAATCAAGCAGAGAATACGGACGAAGTTGCAATTATGCTTAGCTATATTTTGTTCCAACGGTGTACATGAGACAGAGTTGTCAGTTTTACATAACAGATTTAATTCCGCAAGTATGTTGTGCAAGGTACAATCAAAATATAAGTTGCTATTCACATCCATAAGTCAGCTTACAGGGTCACAAATTACAACTTTCTACATCCCATTAATAAATACAGAAAAATAGATACAGCAACCTGTCATCACAGTCATTTTTCTAAAGGTAGGAATATTTAATATCTGAAGTCACAAACAAAATATAATTTAATTTATTTTTGCATTTTTAAATTAATTGTGAAAATATTTTGAAATAAAATAGTTAAAAATAAGCATTTCTCAGTTGAAGCCACCACTCTAACACTAGCTGACAGTATTAACACCTAAATAATTTTTTCACTCCTCCTTCACTGTTCTGAATGTACAGAAAAACAGACAAGACAGAAAGAACACAATTTAATTAGATACCAGCTTTATTAACCTATCTCATCCATGAACATTCCAGCAATATCTCATGCAGTGTGGAATTATCCTTCCTCAGTCTTTTTCATCAGTTGGAGGGCTACCTTTAACCCTCCACCTCTGCCCAGCTAGCTGGTCCCTGCCTGAGATCCTGATCCTCCTACAAGGACTCAGTAGCTTGGGATAGAAAACCATCCCCTCACCACACCCAACTACATTTTCAACCCTCTGTAGACTGGGCATTGAAATAAAAAAATGCAAATAACACCTTCACTACACAGAAACCCAAAAAGGATTCAGGCCGGAGAGATGCAATTTTTCTGTTCTCCATTAAGTACGTAGAAAGTGTTGGTTTACCAGCTTGCAGTGATTTACTCACTCAGCTGAAGTCTTTCCTTTTGTAATCATGACCTCTTCCAACTCCTTAGCAGGGAGCTCTTAAAAGAATCACCCTTTGTTGCTGCTGTCAATGGCCTTCCATGCTTGAGATACTGGAGATTGTACTCCTTCAGGTTTTCACTAGTGTAGCTTCATGCTAGTAACACGCCTTCGTGCATAAAAAAGTCGGTTGAAGTTTACAAACACTGTGTTAATATAGCTCCATCGCTTTGTATTAAATTTTTTTCTCCACTACACAATAAGTCTATGTCAGAGATAATGGTAACAAAACTCAGCATACTGAAGAGTCTTCAAATACGAGTTCTGCCTTGGATGGAAACTAGAGAGGAACACAGTGAACCACTTGTACCATCTACATAGCAAGAATTTACAAAGAGCCAGAGCAATAGTGTGGCTGACGGTGCTGTTTCATTCACCTCAGCCATCCACACTAAATAAACACAGCCTTGCAGAAGGGAAGAAGATTGACTTGTTTGGAGGTCCTCTGCATACACGAGAGGCTATACGCTCCCTCCATTCAATCACAGAACAGCTGTAGAATTATCACATCATGTGGTAAATTCTTCCAGTGGTAAATTAACCTTCATATTAAAAATCCGCACCTCATTTTCACTTTGAACTCTGCTGACTTCATCTTCCAGCCCCTGAATCTTGTGATATCTTTGTCTAGCAGATTAAAGAGTCCTCTAGTATCAGGAATCTTTTCCTTGTGCAGGTAATTAGGGACCGTGATCAAGTTACTGCTTAACTTTCTCTTTGATAAGCTAAATAAACCAAGTTTCCCTTCGGTCTCTCATTGAGATCAGATGCTAGGATACACTTGATATTGTGTACATGGAAATTCAAATGATTAAGAACGACGAGTCTGGAGGATTGCAGCATCATCCTTCTTTGACGGTACCCCACTACCATCTGATATGTAGTGTTTGTAACTATGCAGCTTCTTAAGATACAGAGAGGAAATAGAGAGGAAAACGCTCGAGTTTAAAAAGCTACAAGATTAAATCAGTCTCCTGGTGATTAGTTAATATAACTAGGACATTCTTTTACGGGGTGTTTGAAATGTAAAATGCACATAACCATAATCAGGTCTACAGCAGCCAGTAGACTGGCCAAAGAATCAGTCCCTTGAAAAAATACCATAGTTCAGGAATTCACTCTTTGTTTCAAAAATGTTTCTAGTTGTCCTGCTTTTTTTTTCAAATTAAAGGCATTTAATACTGATAATATTCTGTGAACTAACTCTTTAGAGCATCCACAGTAATTTATTTACAATGTCTTGATATTTACCAGAAGTTAGTTATTATAGATCAACATTATCAGCACATTATATACTGACTGTACATTAAGATTGCATTTTTCTCCTTCCTCTTCCACTCAAGTATAAAGCAATGATAACTTCATAAAAGTACGTTCATCCCACTATAAAATGAATGACTTAAGATACCACTCTGGATGAACTTTAAACAGTAAAAAGGACAAAAAAATCAGAGGAATAGAAGGAGGCTATAATTCAATTACTGTCCTCAGTTACACTCTTCTTAACTGTCTATTAGTCCCACAAATATCAGATTATCATGTCAATATTAAATCATCTCAATTATTTCAGTATTTCTGTTGTATTTTTTTCCTGTCCTATATATACTATTCATGCATTTTTGTCAATTTGCATAACAGTCATTCTGCACTATGTTCAAATGATGTGTTAAACCTTCCATTATTAGGTATCTATAAAACTGTAAAAAGTAGTAAATATTGACATCTCCTGCAGGATTCTTTCTTCCTGTTGTTATAAGAACCAATATAAAGTAACTTCCTCATTCTCAGTTTGAATCCTTTAAAGAGACTTTTTTTTCCTTTCAGGATTATTTAAAATGTGTTTTTTGTGTTTTGCTTTCTCATACCTATCATATGAATGAGAGCCTGGCTGCTGCTTTACATTTCTTATAGGTGGAACACAGTGTACATTTCATTCTATAAAAACATGGAAATACACACTTTGTCCACCAAAACGTATTGAAATTATGTTATCTGGTTAACCTTAAAGCCAAAAACTATATGTACTCCATCCAATACTATGCTGTTGCTTCTATTTAAAGTCAATGCTCTTTATTTTGATAGTTTTATGAGTATGTCTCTTAAACAGTCACGAAAGTTTTTTGTTCCAGACATATCTTGACAGATGAGACTTCATGACTATGCATGGAATTCTAGATACAGCCCAAATAAGCTGTTTTTAATAAAGTAAAAACCAACCACCAGTCAAACCCTGTTTACATTCGAATTAAGCACCCTCTTCTTTTTTAATATCAGCTGCGATTATTTATTTTGAAGCTCATCTGTTCTTGTAAAACTCTTCATTTACTCAGAATTATAAGTATTTTTAAAATGTAATAATGGATCCACTGGCCAGACAGACTAAGAAGGAAAAAGTGCTAGGATATATTGCAGTAAAATGAGGTTGTCACCTGAATATAGGCATGAGAAATCCCTAAATCTCATGGATAGTTAATATGGAATAACATGTGTTGATGACACTTGCTTAAATTAGATTAGTAAAACAGTTTGAGATGTTCAGTTGGCAAATTCTACAGAAGAGAGAAAGAACTGTCACTGAAGTTCTTTCTTACTTCATCCAAATACGAAAGGTCCTTAATTTAAATTCATTTTTGATGTAACCAAGATCTCTTCTTTTTTTCAGGTAGGTGTCACGATATATGCACTTATTAAGCTTACATCAGTAATTTTTCAATTACTAATTATGTTATGTTATGTACTTAGTATGTATTGATTATGAATTGTTAACTAACAGTTGGAATTTTAGATTATTACATAAATCATGAGACCAGAAGCACTGGTTTCCACTCTGTTAGTATCCCTGATAGATTAGCTCCACAGGAGAAACACTTCAGTGTTGAGGCTTATCTTCACCTCGTTGTGACATTTTTTAATATCTCATAGTACCAGTCAGAGCACTTCTAAAGGATATTCTGACTCTTTTCTTTTGATTCTTGTTTTTTGAATTGAAACAATCACAAAAGTGAAGGGAAGTGTTATAAGAAAAACAAGGAAAGCAGCCCGTACATGTCCTACCTATTCTCAGTTACTGAACTTACAGTAGCGAATGTTCACTTCTTTAGTCCATTGCAAAGGACTGCTGCTTATTCCTCAACATTTACTTTTTTTAAAATTGCCCTTTTAGGTGATTCATTAATGCCTGTACATCTGAATTTAATCTACTACTATCAGTGGGAATTGATTGTTTGTCTTTTTGAATTGGATTTCTGGTTAGAGTATTTTAATTGTGACTTGATTCCTGAACAAAAGTATCAACTGATACTTGTAACACTGGCCAACCTTTGTTTATATCTAATACAAAATGCCTATAGTCACTATCATGTAAAGTAACTTTGAGGTTTTCTTCATTTTCAATGCATTTTTTCCCTGAATTCCTTCATTATTCTTGACCTTTTGCACCAGTAAGGTAAAACAACGCAAGCAATGAGGGCCATGGTTGCCTTCTACTTATGTATAATAGTATTGATTCTTTTTTTGCCGCACTTCCCAGGCACATTTCAAAGTGTTCTTATTTTCTTCTACTACCTTTATCAATGACCCAAATGGGTTCCTAGAACACTGTAATTTTGGTACTGAAGATGCGCTTTCCTTTTGTAAAGACAGTTTTGTTCACTGCTCCAATCTAGTTACTATTGACTTTAACCTGGTTAATGGTATTTTAGTTAGAATATTAAAGAAAAGAGCTCTGGCATATCCTCCGTTTACACATCAAAATCACATCTGTCTGTTAGAAGGCTCACGGA